ACCCCCCGAAAAAAGCATCCAGTGGTTTGGACGGTTATGTAAATTATAGGCCCACTGCCCTGTGCCCATTGGCACGACCGGTTCGGTTCGGTTCGATTTGCTAACCAGATTGAGGTCGAAAAGCGGCTATCGTGGCACAAACCAACAACCCAACTCTTTGTCTCAAAATCAAAATTTTCCCGCGCTACCCGAATTCGAACCTGGGACCTTTGAATGAGAGGCGAACACTTTAACCTCTAGGCCACGAGAGCCTCAGGCCGTTGTTTGAATCCTAGACTGAGTGTACTTGAACGCGAGTCATTTTGTGAAGTTTTCAAGGCTCTCTGTGCATTTAGTTCGGTTCTATCGGAGACGGACAATTTATTCTGAGGCACTGCCTCTTAAACAATCTTATGATGTTGACAGGGGCGTTATACCCATACACTTACGCTACGTTATTTAATTACTTTGGCATCCCCGAGGAGCCAACGCGTTGTTGCCTTGCTGACAACGCAGAAAAGTCAATCATCAGGAAATTTGAATTATCATTTCGATGCCAGTATTTTCTATTGTCTTTCTACTGAGAGATTGCCTTATCAGACATGGCATTGGAAACCAACAGGAAAGAGAAAGCGAGGAAGATCAAATGGAAGCTACAGAGGCACAATAAGAGATGAGGCAATCACCCAGGGCCTTGATGTGCCAGAATTAGAGAAAGTAGCCCGGGACAGACATGCGTGGCGTCGACTGCTCTCCGCCTTAGGTACCTGACGGTATAATATGGAGAGAGTAAGTAAATAAGTATTTTATACTGAGTCAACTCCTAAATGTGAAGAATGTTCATGTTCAATGTAGGTCTGACAGATCTCAACTGTGCTACATTTTTGTGTGTTTGAATTTTGAATTTTCAATATTGCCTCGGACTTCGTAGATCTACTCTAAATAATATTTCCACCAAATGTCTACCCCGAGAAGTTTAGAGGACGAGTCCAACAATCCTTCTACTAGTCATGTATTCATAAGTACAATATAATTCTTCAACAGTCTGTGACTGTCTGTCAGCCAGCTGGTCGTCTGCTGCTGCACTGACGTCCGAGTGATTTGGCGAGATCTCCGTTAATCCGGCGTGAGTGAGGGTTTTTGGCATGAGCAACAGCTGGCCAAGAGCAGCTGCCATTCCGGGCGTCCCCAGAGCACCTGGTAGCGACGTAAATAAGCCGCTGGAATGGACGACAGTTGAGACGAAAGTTAAGACTGATGATAGTTGGGCGATAGTTAGAACGATAGCTGGGGCGATAGTTAGGACGATAGTTATAACTGACGATAGTTGGGACGACCGTTGGGACCAGATGGAACTGTAACTTGTGGACTCAGCATAGTTTAGTATTGTTTTGTCTTGTCTGAGTCATCTTGTCTTATTTTGTCTTGTCTTGTCTTCTTTTTTTTCGCAACTACATAAGGTCAAATGAGCGCGTAGGACACATTAACTTTCAGTTTGGTAGGAGACTTTGATTTTGCCCGGGTGGCGGCCAAAGCCTATTCTTATCGATAAAGGGATCTTTAACATGCGCAAAATGCGCACGGTATCTCCGCAATTTTTCGCCCTTATCCGAGAAGGCTACGTGTTAAATCTTACCTACCCTAAGACCAGGGGTGTGGCTGAAAGACAACAGTAAAGAGCCTAGGGGTGGCAGTAGAAAGGCTGCAGAAAGAGTCAGGAGCCTGGAGGGGGGGGGGGCAAAGAAGGTGATGGGGTGGAGGCAGAAAGTGGGGACGAAAGCAGACGACAGAACATTGCCAGAGAGCAGGAAAGGGGACAATTTTAGAGAAGAAAATTTTCCCTCGCTATCCAGATTTTGACGCTGGTACAAAGGGTGTAGGATTGCAGTGAAATCAGGCGCTTGTCGAAATGATGAAATCAGAGAAACCAACATTTTTTTTTAGGTGGATGTCGCTGTAAGACATTGATCAAAGACACAAAAAATATAAACTTGCAGTTTCCAAGGACTTGTAATTTTTCCAGCTTTGAAGACCATTTTCTCGCTAATTTTACCCTC